AACCTTAAACATAATTAAAGCATAGTGATTAATCACAAAACAATATGTAATTATATATTGTGAAATATTTGTGTGTTTTCTGATGGTTTAGGCGACCCCTGTGAAAGGGTCATTGGATCCCCAAAGGGGTGGTGACCCACAGGTTGAGAACTGCTGCCTTAAACGATCACTCATGAACTTATTTCTGAGTGTTGTTATGGTATGTATTAATATTAATTTGTTTCTCTGGGAATGTTCAAATTTCACCATTAAATTTAGAGGAAAAAAATTTTTGATATATAATTCTTATTTGACACATTTTTGCTTGAAGGTTTTAATATGTCACCTGATTGTCTTCTTGCCTATATGGTTTCTGCTGAGAAATGAGAGCTTAGTGTTATTGGTTTTCCTCTGTAGGTAAGTTGCTATTTTTAAGTTGCTTTCAGGTCTTTTCTTGACTTGGTTTTGGAGAATTTTTTCAAAAGTTTTATTGGCATATAATTTACACATCATAGAATTGAATAGTTAAATTGTTCAGTCATCTCAAAGGGAATTGTACAATCACCACCACATCTATCTTAGAGCATTGCACTACCACCCCTATGTTTAAATCACCTTTAAAATGAATTGTGCAATCACAATTGGTTCTGGTGCTCCCTCCCCACTCCCTCCTTCATTATTTACTCCAAAAATTCCCTTTCCCTCCCTTTTGCCCATACCTCACCCCTGCATTCCCTATCACACCTTGTATCAGTTATTATCATTATACATCCTCTCCTCAAACCTAACAGAAAACAATGAAAAACAAATCACACTAAGGTGGTAAGGATAAGATCATATTAGCATAAAGGCAAATATACAAATAATACGTGAGAGGGAGAAGACCCCCATCAACATTCAGAAAATCAGGGAAGAAATTTCTGTCAGGGAACAACTAAGAGATACTTCCACTCAGAACAAATTCAGGTCGTGTCTATAGGGAGGTCAACTGTCCATGTATCAAGTTCAATCTCGCATAATCAAGTTACAATGGTCTCTGCCTGATAGTAAAGCTGATTTGCCAGAGGCTTGATCTGACTAGATCCTCTGCAAATTAGGTTTTGGCTCCCAGTGTCCTCCATAGCCTTTTCAAAATTGTATGTTCATAATTTTAGCTCTGATACTTTTCACCATATCCAAATGTTGTACTTGTCATCTTTGGATCACACAAGCTGATGTGATTCTTCTGTGTGGACTTAGGAGAGTTTGATTCTGATATGTCTTTTTTTCTGACTCTATCCAGCTTGGGCTTCATTGAGCTTCTTTAATACTTATCTTCTCCTCTTTTATGAAATTAGGGGAAATTTTCTTACAACAAATCGTTGACAGTTTCTCTATACTTTTTTGGGGTTGTTTGTTTTATTCTGTCCTGGAATTCCAATCACATATAAATCATTCCTCTTGATGGTGTCCCACATAATTCTTAGCCTTCTTTCTTGTTGGTTGATTCTTTTTATCTGATTGTTCCTCTAACAGATTAGCACTAAGAGATTTGTCTTCAATTGCACTCATTCTGCCTTCTGTTGATTTAGTTAGACTCCTTTGTCTTTCCACTGTGCTATCTTGCTTCTGTAATTTTAGTATTAATCTTCTAGATTTCTATTCGCTGTTTTTTGTGCAGTTTTTAATTTTCTGTATATTTTGTTGTTTTATTGTAGTTGTTGTTCTTCTTGTTTTGTCTGTATTTACCTTGATTATTGTCTGAGGTTTCCTCAAACTTTCTCTCTGTCTGTTGAAGGTACCTAAATAGAATTCTTTTTAATTCTTAAAAGATAGTTCCAATAGCATTTCCTCCCCAAGAACATTATTTTGGTCACTGATGTGAGCCATCTAGTCCTGCCTTTTGGTTGTTTTGTTTCATTGTGTTTGTGTGAAACTTGAAGTTGTCTGTTGTTTCTGAGAAAGTGCAGTGTTATTATATTAATTTGTTGGTTTGCTTCATCTTAATATTTTGTTGTAATATATTCAGGCAATAGGACAGGTGTGCTATTCTGCCTCTAATTTGGCAGTGCTGTGGAATTCATCACCTGTCTCTGATTGGATATGATAACAGGTGGGAGTGAGGGCACAAGTCTATGATCTCCTGTCAAGCAGAGCAGTTTAGGAGAGGTGTAAATGATCTCCTGTCATGCAGAGCAGTTTAGGAGAGGTGTAAATGTGTGTTGGCTGTTATCTGTCATTGATCCAGGCTGAGGCTTCAGGTGTGTAGGTATGACTGCATAGGGTTGTAAG